CAAAAATGTCTCCTCCCACACTCATGAAAGGCCCTTCGAAAAGGGCTGTGCGCGGTGTTTCGGGAATACAGAGATTGAAGATCAACGTTTGCATTTCTATGGAACGCATCGAGGAGAGTGGTTTGGGACGGTGGTCGTAGCATCTGAAAGTTAGAGTCTGCCTACAATTGCCTGGCTTCGTTTGGACAAGTGCGTTCCACTTCTGATTTGATGTTTTTAGCTGGTATCGTTTATAAGGCTCCATTGATATTACGATCCCTATCGGTGATCCAGGGCACAAGTGTCACGAACTTGAACCGGAACAGTGTGAGGCTGGAAAGTAATACAACAGCTAAAGTACCTCTAGTGTCCTGATGTCCGTAAAGTAGCTAATAGAAGCCATGTCTTTAACCTGTGCAATGATATCATGGTCCGATGCGATCCTCTTGAATTCTCCGTCGCGCTGCCGCGCTAGCAAAAATGCGCTAAACGGCTGTCCAAGGTTGACGATCAACCGCAATGCTCGCGAGTCAGGATCCGAATAAATAGGCCCAGTTTGTGGAGTGGGTGAATCGTGCAACGAAAATTCGGACACGGACCAATTGTCCACGCTCTGCGTATCGTCTGCATTGTCATGCAGCCCAAGGAGATGACGACTCCACGGACGAACCAACAAGATCGTCTGCCAGACGGGCGGCGGCCTTGCCGGTGAGAACGGCGTGAACCTGTCCTCTGTGGTGATCTGCAGGTTGCGAAGCCCGTCTGACTTGAGTTCATACGTATATGTAGCCTGGTCATGACCTGACCTCCGCTTGGCTTCTGTGACCGGGAATACGATGCAAGGCAGATGCAACCGGCGGTGCGCAAAACGGGGAGCGTTCTGGTAGTCAAGTGTCTGATATAATTGCAAAGCAGACTGTGGAGCCACAACACCTCGGAGCAAGGAGACCGACGACTGAATCGTCCAACCCAGTCAAGCGCAGTAATATCGCCGGACTGGGCTATGATTTCCTGGAGGAGCCGCCCGAGTGCGTTCTGCTTCTTCTCACTATAATCAACATGTAGGCGGACGCCAAAAACACCGAATAACGAGTATGCAATGTCTTCTTGCAACGTGGTGGTGCGTGTCGACGCCCACTGAAGTTTCTCTCGGGCGTTTCTCATACCGGGACGGAAGGCCACGACAGTTCGTCGGTCTATTCCTGTCGCATCCTCCAACTCCTGCATGATCGCGACGGAATCCTTGTGGTTGGGAGTGCGATCGTCGAGATAAGGAGTCCAATCATTCTGATAGAACCGAATGACGTTGGGAGCGAGGAATTCTTGAACCGTCCATCCGCGGGTGTTCCAAGCGCTCTCTGCCAGTGCACCTAACTTTGACAAAGGCGGAACATCCGAGAGATATACAACTGTGAGTGCGGAGTGGTGATACCAATCAAACATGGACTTGATCGATACTTGACGCTCAACATCGATGCTCTTGTCAATACAGCACGTGTCGCTCCATGCCCAGCGATACCCCAAATCACGAGCAGTTTTGCAGAAGGACTGCAACTTCTTGATCCCGCCCACTGGATCCAACTTATAGACTTCCTTGCCCTGGATGTCCTGCAGCAGCGGCTCCTCGCCTTCCCACCTGTGTGATAGCATGACATATTGGAAGTACGTCATCACCACTTCTTCGATACGCTTCATTTAAATATCTCGATGCGTGATTGCTGATGATAGGAGCTCCTTGTACTCTACGCTCGTTTTGAAGGTGCGTATCTGCGTCTCTCGATCGCATAAGAGACCGGTGGCGGTGTCGAGTACATGCAGCGGAGCATTGTCAAGTTGAGCATCGATGACCTTTCGAATAGCACGGTCCACTTCGGATGGGTCGAGATACTGCTGGAGCAACTCTGCAAAAAAATGTAAAGGATGTTGACCCATGAATTCTCTGAGGCTTACCTCGTGTCTCAATGTCAGGAGTGCTATTCAATTTTGAGAGCATCATTTTGAAGGCCGCAATAGCTTCATCATAACGTTGTGTGCCATGAAATGCTGCATACTCCAACCTGTATCCAATATGAGACGAAGGATTGAGTTGGATGGCCTGTGTATTACCGCATTGAGTATAAGTGAAGAAACAATAAATGCCATCGCACCTTTCGCGCGTCGAGAAGTGCATCATCCCATAACATTTTACCTAACTTTGCCCTACTACGATTGGCGAACACAGCATCAGATGTAGGGTTCAGGTCAATCACTGCCGAGTAAAGGTCGATAGCCCTGTTATAGTCGCTTGCAGCGAGGGCAGCATCCCCGCTGGTGAGTAAAGATGCGCTGTATTTTTCCGTGAATGCTGAGTGAAATGGGAGTGAGGATTGTAGTCTGTGCGACATTACGAACTCCAGACTTGCCCCTGGACCATTCGAGGCAGTCGGCTTTCCTCTTTTCATTGATATTGTCCATCATGTATTGGTATGATTTGACAGCATCTTGAAGTTTGCCTGCCCGAAGGAGTGCATCACAACGTTTCTGGTTTGCAGTGAGCCACAGCGATTTGAGATCCCAGCCAAAGAGCTGGACAAGGGACTCGGTTATGAAAGGATTTTTGGATGCATATTCACGTACCACCACCAAGTCCTCATATATAAAATGAATAGGTGAATCCCATGAGAGAGCGCTTGAGTTAAGAACGGCAGCGAAATGGTCAACGGCTTCTTCGTAACTTGCGCCATCCAAGGCCTCGATTCCGAGTTGAACACGCATATATCCCTGATGTACGAGTCGCAAACATTAGTGTAGATGACCAAGTGCGATGATACTTACTTGCACGATGCAACACCCGAGAGTATCGGCATTCGGACAACCGGTAACGAGTTCTTTGAGGAGAAGGTTTGCCTCGTCATGTTGATCTGCATTGAAGAGGGCAATGGCCTGAAATACGCGATGAAACAGACAGTATGTGAGGCAAATGTGACGTACTTTGATCAAGAGCAGGAAATGGAGGATTTGAGAATCTTGGTCCGTGTACATTGATGCAACATCAAACGCTGCCCTCGCATCCGGGATGCGGCCTTTTCCGCAGAGGGCAATACCCTTGGAGATGTAGCCTGTCAATGAGGGCCGAATGCTGATGGACTATGTCGTCGTCGAGTTAGCATTCTGTAAGGGGGCCATGATCAGTGCATATCACTCACCTTGATAGCATCCTGAATGGCGTGATCCCAGTCGTTTTTTCGGGCCATCACAAATGAGCGATGGGCATAGGAAGTGTGGTTGTTGGCATCGGTGTTGACATCTTGCGTAAGTAGTTCTTCGGCGGTAGACAAGTCCCCATCTATGCATGCAATGCGGGCTGTTGTTATGGCCAGGATCTGCACGAAACATGCTCGAATTGTGCTATATGAGTCGAGAACGGAAACATACCTTCGGATGAATACCCTGAGGTACTGCCCACTCCAAAATCGTCTTATCTTCACCTCCGCTGAGGATATGATTGCCGTCCACCGAGAAAGTGACGCATAATGGCGCAGATGAGTGCTTGAAGGTGGCAACGGTCGATCGATCTGAGAGCCGCCAGAGAAGGACATGATTGTCATGAGATGCGGATGCGACAAGTGTGCCAGCGGGATGAACGGCAATGGTATTGATATGATTAGAGTGACCCATCCAAGGATCGCCGACCTGCTTCCAGGTTGTTGTATCCCATTCACATATGGTAGGATCGCGATTATCGCCGCCTATGAGAAGGCGAGTGCCATCGAGCGTCCATGCGAGTGACAAGTTGCGTCCAATGTGAGCCTCAAAGAATGCGACATATTCCCTTGTGGATGGATTATAAATTACCTTGCGGAGCAAGGTCATGTCGGATGGCAGATAATCTGTCAGTCACCTGACATGAACATCATGCTGTGCAATAATCGAAAATGATAGAACTGCGTCAATATGAACACACAAAACTACTTCATAAAGTATCCAATTAGCTACTCAGAACTTGGTCTCGATGAAATACAGTCAAACTCTGAGCTCGATCTCGATGTCATGATACAATTTTAAATTAGTGATGTTCCGGCCCGGCTTAGGCTCGGCTTGGGGGGGGGGGGGGGGTTTAGGTTCGCTAGATTTCAAGCCTGAGCCGTGAGCCCAAGCCGGCCCAAAGCCGGGGCTTAGGCCCATGCAAGCCGTGGCCCACACGGTGAATTGCATGTAATCGATGTCCGAGCTCCACCATGCTGTTCCCAAAACCATGAACACCATGCGCAAACGCCCAGCACACGTCAGCAACTGCTGATGTGGCTCAGACGAATACGGACGATGGACGAGAGCAGGAGAAGGGAAGAAGACAAGGAGGAGAACGAGAACAAGAGAGAGGAGATGGACGATCGGTAGCACTCGAGTGCTTCAATTCTGCTCGCCCGGAAGAGTAAGCGCTGAATACTATAACTCGGATACCTGAAGTGCAGCGTCGAAGAGGGATGTATTTCGAACGGTCGATGAACCACTCGCCGACTTTGGATCTAATTGTAGGTTGGGCACCTAGACCACAGACCAACCAAAATTTCGTAACGCGTCGACCTTGAAATGTCTCGAGGGCCAGGCGGACGATGATCTTGTGTTCCATTTGAGATCAACGGATCTCTTTCGGTCGCCATTTCGTGCGTATGTAGTTGAAGTTGGGAGTCAAACTTCAAAGAGTGTCACGCGATGAAGAGCCTCCCAGTTATGTTCGAGTGCAAGAGCAATCGCATGGTGCCCATCTGGAATACAAAACATTTCAGCAGATGCAAAAATCACGGGATGATATAGTGAGGATGGTAGCATCAGTAAAACCGCTGAAATGAACGCTTAGCTTAAGCGCGTTACGAACACTTACGAATGCTTACGACTTCAGTAGCACACTCGTCTGATTGGTGGAGAGCTCAGACGATGATTATGTTCTACGGAAATGAATGCAATCAGGCTAGATTGTGCAATCTTACTTATCAACACGATTAGAACGCAGATAATCAATTGTATTGTAGGCAAATGCAAATCTACATCAAACCACTGTGCATTGTATTGAAAACTTCCTTGTCCGAAAATGTATTCAAGTAGTATTCATCACAGATCTCCATTGCGTTCGTAGCATTTATCATGCGATCCATCTTCGAACCATACATAGGGATCAGCTCAACAGCACAGGTAACGGCTGTCAGCGGAATGATGCTGCCAGGTCGGAAGATCCGACCTGTTCCATCCTGATGGTAGATGCGTTTCACTCGGTACATGCCAGCGCTTGCATCCTCAGTAGGTGTTGCTGTGATCTGAAAGTACTGAACGTATAGAAGGGGTGAGTCTTTAAGATAGTGGGGCAGGGTTTGACCTTTCCTGGCAATAGCTTGAAAAACACAACGCACTTGCGCAATGTATGTATCTGCACAGGCTTGTAAGCACATGGATGACGCCAGCAGTTAAATACTTACCATCATTGCCAGGCAATTGCACGAGAACTGCATCGCAATTGCCCATAGGGAAGGTCTCTGATGGTGGAAACGCTTGGACGATTTGACTCGGCATCACAACTCACGACTGGAAGGTAGAGTGTAGCTGTAAACGAAACTTGTTCCATGTCCTGACTGAATCTCGCGCACACGTCCAGGCTGTTGTTGGGGTGTTTTGGGACGAGTCATTGATATATTCCATGAGCACTGCGCCGAAATTTGGGAGAGAGTAGATAGATTGCAGATCAGTGATAGAAAGTGACTTTCGATCGGGAGAGATGGTGACATGAAATGCGGCATTAGCTTCAACAGAAAGTATTCCCTTCAAAAAATGGTTGCGGACAGGTCGCGGGCCATGGAAGCGATTCTGCTTGCCGGGAAGCACACGCGCTATCCAGGCCAAAGTAGGATCTGTCTCCGTGACGATATTGTCTTCGATTGCGATGGCATTCACGAGCGGTGTACCATGCGAATGCAAAAGGGTATAAAGATTGAAGCGTCGCATGGTTTCGTCACGATTGAGAATTTGGACGACCTGTAAGGTAAAATTCCTGGCTTGCCGACTAGTCCTTTCGAATGGAAATTTGCAGTGTGTGATCAGGAGTCGCTCACTAACATCCGCTGAGTACTGTATCAAACCTCCGAGATCTCTGATGGACCCCGCAAAGCTGTGAAACAACTCCATTTTGGGGATGAGGAAGTTATCGATCGTTCCACTCTTCCCTCTCCGAGCACCGGCATCGAGTATCGCTTGCTTCAGCGTATGAAACATGTGGAGGGAGTGCACCATAGCATCAATGGACGAGTCAGTGTGCACGGGGCTCTGTGCCTGGTAAATGAATTCGGTGAGGAAACGAATGGCATGGATGAAATCAGGGGTTGTGTTTGCTGCACCAGCGACTGTGGCGACAATGGTCCGTTCAATGTCACGATGCTCCCGGCACGTCATCTGGTTGATGTGGGAGACACCAGACCCAAAATGACGTGTTCCGACTCGTTTATGATGAGCCTTGTAGCGAGCATCAAGTTCATCCTCCCCGACAACTTCCTTGCACCACTTTAAAGGATGGTCACCAAAATATTTGTGACAGGTGTGAAGCAGTTCGCCGGGCAAAAAATGACTTGGATCTGCATGCGGCCAATCTCTCCAATATGGCTGATGAACGCCGCTAAGCAGCAATGCTTTAGCTTCGCGTTGGAAGAGTGGTACATTCCATGGATCAACACGTTTGCATAGGTCGTAGATGAGCTTGAGCGTATGGTCGCCTGTTCGACGGGGGAAAAGTTGAGCACTACCAAAGTCGCTTTGGGTTGCCATCGTAAGTGGTGACGCATTTTTTGAGACACAAGCGATGAGCTGTGCCTCAGGGAGATCAGCTGTATATGCGACGAGCGGAGTGAAGCAATGCCGGATATAACCCATGGAGTCCGACATGTATTCACCGACCCTCGCAGCCACCTTGCATTTGGCAAATATCATGTCCATGCACTTGTGGAACAGGCGAGCATGGAGGAGTGTTTGGAAATCCGCGTGAACATCAAACTTCGGAATCGGGATAAATGCAACACAGCGCCATGCATGAGCGGTGGCCTTCATACGAACTTCAGATTGAATATTGGCAATCGTAAGGAACACCGGGTGCATTTCTAATCCTCCCGACATCCTGGTTATGTTACGTCGACTGTAGGTCGGCGTGTGCGAACTAGGATAGGTCTTCTCAGCGACGACTCGAGTGAGTCTACTGAAGCTGAGCGTGGTCTGGCCTTGACGGAACGTCAAGGATTCCTCCGGCGATCTCGGTAAGACGGCGCTCGTCGAGATGCAGGGCTAGCGGATACGTGCAGAGGCGTATGGGAGCGACTCTGAAGTGCGGTCTCACACAAGGAAGCAGTAAAGCTTAGATGAGCAAGTTCTTGGTAGAACCTAGTAGATTAAAGTGAAGTTCAATCTACAACAATGTGCCTACTTATACATAGTGTATGTAGGTGTTCAAGCTCAGTCTGTAATCTATAGTATATCGTTAATCTAAGATAACCAGACATGAGGTGAGATAGTATACATGAGGCTTAACCTCTGATCATACATGCGGCGCCAAGGGCAGCTGCGCATAGGTACAGGAGGCGCCTAGGGCGCTCCGGATCTTCATGAAGCGACATGCTGTATACATGCGCTGATCTAGGGTGTCCATGAGGCGCATAGCCTCCATGGAACAGGCACAAGGCCGTCTAGGCCAGGGGCGGGGTCATAGCATCAGGCGGGGTCATAGCGGTCCAAACCGCTGTCTTTCTAGGCGCAGGCGGCGCACCGCCGCGCGGGGAGTCTAGCAGAGCGGGGGCAGGTGTAGGGAGAGCTGGGGCTCTAGTAGGTGTTACAGATCCCTGTAACAGGTTACGGGCGTCTTGTCGGATGCGAGGATGATTGGTACCATAGTGGCACCTTCTGGAAGGTTGTTCTGGCATAGAACACTGAGCAATACCACTTTACCACTGTTAAGGAGCCCTACCTGAATATCGAAAGCCATGTTAGCTGTAAAAAACTCGCCATATTCGCGTTCTGAGCCAGTGGTAACAATGTGAGGATCATACATCATATGATTGGAAAAGATCGGGTTTGCAAAGAGATCTTTGACGACTTCGAGACCGTCACGCCAGATTAGCTTGATTGGCCTTGCAGTTGTGTAGTTGGTAAACTCGAGTGTCGTTGATTGCCACTCTGGGCCGCTTGGTAGCGCATCAATCCAGCCAAATAGTTGATCTGCGCTCTTGAAGGATGGCCTGGGTCTATTTTTGAACTTGTGCGAAGCTCAGAGTTAGTACAGTCAAAACTGCAGAAACAGATAATGCTACTCACCCAGTCTAGTTTCAGAAATTTGTTAATATCGGTTTGTGTCAGCCGTTGAACGAGGAACTCTGCTAGCTGCCATTCAGCCTGATCAACAAAAGGGTATGATGGATTTATTGCTCTGCGGCGCTTTTGATCTAAGTCGTGATCCTCCATTTCCTGCAAGATATTTCGTCCCCGTCCAAAAATGTAGCCTGACTTTGGATGGTACTGGCCAGTGACTTCTTCTCGGTTGTTGTCTCCCCGTTGGAAAGCTGGAGGGATTGGCAAGCGGTAAGTGGACTCTCTGTTCCAACAAGAATGCGTCTGATCATTGAGATGATCTACAACAGCAAGATTTGATGCAAATTCGAGTCCGCAATTCGGGCATTTTGTAGATGTCGGACCACTGAAAAAGTTGGTCAGTTACTGCTGTACCATTTGATACAACTCACCTGTGACAATTGCGTATTTCCAGACCTGTTGCAGTGCACCCCTCAAGTTCCGAGCCCATTGCGGTGCGTTTGGAGTGAGGAAATTCACCAAGTTCTTCAAACTCCGCCAGCTTGTATTTTTGCTGTACTACACTCACCACTGCAGAGATAACAGATTATATTTCTATGACTCCAGGTTCTTTCAATAACGTTCTTTCATCGTCTGCGTCTACAACATCGGGTTCCAGTGGTCGAACTCGAGTGGACTCCCTCCAAACTCCTGACCCTTCCAAAATAACTGAAGGGAAGGTCATAACTTTGACCACAGGTCTCACGTCCCTCGAGCCCCCCTCCCTGCGCTCAGAGACCTCCTCTCCGGTTTCAACCCATTCTGATGCCAATTCACTTATTGGCAGCACTCGCAGTTCCCGGCGTGGAATGCGACCTGCAAGCAGGAGTCACCCATACCTGCATCGTGGTGCTCCTAGTACCCAACTGGAGCTGCGCTTTGCCCTGAAGGGAATCCGAGGAACCCCTGACATCAAACTTACTGATGCCATAAAGGTAAGTAGGCCCTTGTTTTCAGGAACTGATGATTTTTATTCAACTATTGCAGGGGCGGGACATTTTCTTGCGTGGTCTCTCGTCTTTGTCAAGTGACACGATAACGTTGGCAGCACACGCCAAACATGCTGCGCGAGAAAACCACCGTCACAAGGTCAAGCAACTCGGTTGGGAGATCCAAGAGGTAGAATACAACAAGCTACTCCTCAAAGCATTTGAGCGGAAGGAGAAGAAGCGACTGAAAATGGCAGAGTCGGATTATCGCCTCTTCGAGAAGCTCTTAGTGGGACGAGATCTTCCAGCTCTACAGCAGGATGCTGAATACCTGGAGGAATCGCACGATTCTGAGCTCGATTCCCTAGCTACGGCTGATGAGCAGCTCTATCAAATTTCATCTGTATCACCACTCGCAACAAAATATGTCTCTCACAGGCTTCCAAACAGTAGTGACACGGAGTATGAGCAAGATGAGGAGGAGGCTGACAATGGGGAACGATCCGACGATTCCGATTATTCTGACGCCGAATTGGAAGGTAGAAAGCTCTATCTCCCTAGATTATACAAATAACTCACAAGCTTACCTTCTCAGATTGATCATTGCTCACAAGTGCCGTCAGACGCAGCCATCGATAATCCTTTCTTGGTACCATTCTATTCATGAAATTTCCCATCTGTACACTGTACTATATCGGATTGAATAGTAGGAGTTGTATTTCATCGATCGACGATATGATAAAGTTTGCGCTCGCTGACAAGTTGTGACTAACTAACTGTAAGCAACACTTGACTAGCACCACGACATCAATGGACCCCCCTCCGCCATCAGCAAGATCTACTGGTAGGCGAAAGCCCAACGCTGCAAGGGTACGTGTTGGAATTGCAATCCTGTCGCCGATGCTTACTGATCAATCTATAGAAGGGTTTTCGGCCAGGGATTCACTCGGACCTTAATCCCAGTGGCCAGTCGGTCGCCAATCAACTCGCCTTACCTGGTGATCGCGCAACGACACCCGCAGAACATCGCATTCAGATGCCCATCTCACAGCAGCATCATGCACAACTTGAGCCCCATTACCATCAACCCCCACCGCCGCAATATTCCCAGCCTCAACACCAAGCTCCGCTCATGCACCATCAGCAACCCCCGGCCATGCACCATCAGCACCCCCTGGTCATGCACCATCAGCAACCCCCGCCCATGCACCATCAGCAACCCCCACCCATGCACCATCAGCAACCCCCGCCCATGCACCATCGGGACGAGGATAGAGCACTAGCCGACGCATATGCTGGCGCATTTGCCCTCCTCCACGAACCATCGTCAAGGCAGCCATCACAACCAGATTTGGTCGGAAATGGGTCTTTGGCCCCATGGGGGGCCGCGCGGCTTGTCGCTCTGGCCCCCCTTCACTTGGGAGAGAACATCCGTGGGGAGAGAACCCAGGGTGTTATTCGAGTAAGTTATATTTGAGTGTTCGTTTTTGAGTGTTTACCTATGATATACAGACTCAAAAACATGTCTCCGACAGCGGGAGACGACGACGTAATGTGAGACTTCCTCCCACGCCAGAGCTACTGTCAGCTGATCCTGCCGCTGCACCTGATTTGCCCGAGGGGTCTGGGTCAATTGTGGACCCGCCCATTTCGACTCGCATAAAGCTCTCGACGAAATCAGCCCGAAAGTTGAAAGAAACCGCAAAGAGTAAGCTTCGGGCGCTTCTACTGAACGTGGATGCGGAAACAGATGGTGCCCCGAATGATGAGCTTCGCGATAAGATGATACGCAATGCGTTGCAAGCCACGAAAATTGAACAATTTGGTCAAGGTGTGTTTCATTGCTTTCCGAATCTCAAATGTACTGATACTGAGGTCATAGCGGAAATCGAGGATATCAAGGGTATCAACAATTTTATGGTGGCCGCAATAGCAGATATGCGACGCGGGTTCAAAGCTTACGCGATGAAAACAGTTCCAGTTGGCTATGGTCTGCGCCTGCCACTGTTTTCGGAACAGGATGAGTCAGCGCATGGGCGAGATAGAGTCAGTGTTCTACTAGAGGATTCGAGATACCTTCACCATATTGAAGAGGTGACAGTCTCCGTCAATTCAGTAGGGTGTCGCTCACTCGGCCACAGAGCATGGGTGACACGGAGGTTCGACGATTACTGGAGAACGAAGTTCTCATCAACATGGTCATTGACCTTTTGAAAGACGGATTATCGGACATTGTAAAGGGCCCACTCGATCGTTTGTTCGCAGCATGTGGCGCAACAATCCGCTGCGTGCTATATGCCCATCGTACTGGTCATTTCGTTGATTTCTCTGTAAATTCCTCTATTTTTGATGATGCTTACCACGAGATCATGAACTACATTACTACAACTATTCATCCTTCAGATACTTTGCGTGAAAGGTTCGCGGCTGTACAGCAGGAGGTTCGCAAACGAGTTTAGCATTAGTAGTAGATTTGTACCATACCCACTGCCCGCATCTAATCAATGATAATCCGGACTGATTTCACGCTGATAGTGACAATCATTTCCTCGCTTCCTCGCTTGTTGCATTTGTTCTCCGTTGCACACATTTTTGGTCTAGTTACATGCTAAATACAGCTCGTCCGAGACCATACTAAATAGGGATCATAAAACGATGCTTGAACGACGATTTAAACTGTTGATGTAGAGCGCGTGAAGTCGCATTGGTCTATTTGGATTTGTTGAACTTTCGTACATTTTGCGTGCTGTTACGATGTTTTAATCGGCTTATCGAACATGCTCAAAAGGCAATATTAGGACCAAGCTGAAGACGACATCGAATATGCTAAAGGCCAACCTATTAATTGGCTGAAAAAAAAAGACTTATCGCAGTGAAAACGAAAAACAAGCAGACTTAGGACTGCCGTCACGCAGATTTGGGGGTCCGAAAACGACGAGTGTTGGAAGAGGTCGACAAGGCCGATTCCCACGAATTAAAAATTCTCCGGAGCAAGGTCATAAGTTCGCACAGCGAACCCCTAGTCTCAATATTGTTTTCTGTTGCGATGGCAAGAAGTTCTCCAGATGGCGAATATCGTACGCAACTGACAGGACTATCACCCCCAATTGGGTCTCCTTGTTGCTCCCAGGTTTTGGTATTCCACAGTTTTGTCAATCTGTCGTCATATGCACTGGTGGCCAGCACTGTTCCATCAGGAGAAAAATCCAGCGAGGTGATAAATTTCGAGTGGGCTTCTATTTTGGTGAGCGATTCGCCAGTTTCTCCATGCCAGACGATGATATCTCCACTAAAATCACCGCTGGCTATCAATTGCCCATCTCGTGATACTACCAATCTCCACACCCCATTGCGATGCCCTTCCATATTCTTCAATTCAATACCTGTCTTCAAGTCCCACAAACGAAGCGTTGTGTCATTCGAGCCCGTGACTATCCGTCGTTGATCGGGAAACACTGTGACTGCCGCTACGCGTTTTTCATGGCCTTGGAACTTTCGCAGGGGCATGGTGATTGGAGCGAGTTCCGGCATCTTACTGGAGGTTGGTGGCGTTGGACGCGGTCAACGTGGATCTTTGAGGGCTTGTGGGTGTCTTTCTGCAGTGGTGCGTATTTTGCAGTTTAAAATATGTACCCTGCATTCATTTCAATAGACGCCCGAAACACTTGAGGCTGTCCGGTCCCACGCCTCCATAACCATTACGATAAGAATGTGCCCTAACTCTTGTCTCCACAGCTGCCAGAATGCATATCATCGCATCCAATCGAGCAATCAGTGCTTTTCATTATTCAAATCTGACTATCTATCTTGCATGTTTTTGCGTCGAGCAGCTACGCCAGCACATCACCGTGTCACTCCTTCGAACGCGGCATACCTAAGATCACCGGGCTTGATCCAGCCTCCTCCCAAGACCTCGTGCACTGGTTGCAGCTGAAGTTCTCCCTGTTGGCCTTTCACATCGTCGCCAATTCTGTCACAGAGGATCACTTTGCTTCTAGCACTCTGCTTATGAGTGATTTCGACTTTTAGCTTCTCATACTTCAGGCCCATGTAAGCTCCACCCCAGTTTCTTTACCAAAAGTCAAATTATTGGCCGCTTGTGCCAGGCGCTGTGGGACTCACGATTTGTGATGGACTCGTGATTACTCTCGAATGACATTTATTATCTCTTTCGTGAATGGGAATCAATGCATGGTAATGAGGATGAAACAACGGATGGATCTTACTGAAGCGACGAGGCCTTCCAAAAATTCTTTTAGTACATCTACAGAGTAACAACGCAGATATTATCATCAAAACACAAATGAATGCCTCGAGATGTCTAGTTTCAAATATATGGACTACAGTATTTCTACGGTACTGACGTCCATGCTATCAACCGATGCAATGTCTTTGACTTGTGCAATGATATTATAGTCCGACGCGATCCTCTTGTATTCTCCGACACGCTGCTGCGCTAGCAAAAATGCGTCGAAAGGCTGTTCAAGCCGAACCATTAACCGCAACGCTCATGAGCCAGGCTCCTCTTCAACAGGCAAACCGCTGGGTGGCCTGTCAGAGTAGTTCATCAGGGACCCAGGCTCGGTCCAATATTCTACGCTCTTTTGATCGTCTGCAACGTCAGGCTGCTCTGCAAAGTCAGGTACCCCGAGGAGATAGCGATCCCATGGGCGAACAAGTAAGAACGTCTGCTGAATGGGCTTTGCCCGCCAGAACTGAACTAGGATTTCTTTAGTGATGACGAGCAGGTCGTGAAGCCCGTCCGCCTTGATTTTATACATGATGAGAGCCTCCTGGTTTTGACTGTGCATACGTCTGACTTCCGTGACACGGAATGAAATGCAAGGAAGATGAAGTCTGCAGTTTGCAAAGCGAGGAGCTCTAAGCTGTTCAAGCTCGTCATAAAATTTCAATGCTAGATCTGCGGCCACGGTTTGTTGCAGCGAAGATACTTGCGTGTGAATATGGCCTTCAGACAAAGGTGAAAGGGGGCGTGGAGGAGTGGTGTAAGAGATAATATGAGCTGGAAGACAGCTATTGAACTCGGAAGGTTCTCCAATCCAGTCGAGGACAGTGATGTCACCCGACCGAGCCACGATCTCCTGCAGAAGCCGTCCGAGCGCATTCTGCTTCTTCTCACCATAAATGACAGGTAGGGTGATGCCGAAGATGCCAAATAATGAGTACGCTACATCTTCCTGCACAGTGGTGATGCGCTTTGACGCTCATTGCAGTTTCTCTCGGGCCCCGCTCATACCTGGACAGAAGGCCAACAGGGCCCATACATCTATGCCCATTGCATCTTCCAACTCCTTCATGATGGCAGGGGACTCTTTGTGGTTGGGAGAGCGATCGTCGAGATATAACGACCAATCCTTCCGATAGAAGATAACAACTTTCGGAGCGAGGAATTCTTGAAAGGTCCATCCCCGCTCGTTCCAAACACTCCTCGCCAAAGCACCGGGCTCGGATGAAGGAAGGACGTCGCATAGATAGACAATGGTGAGCACTGAATGGCGGTACCAGACGAACATGGAGTTGACCGATTCTTGAAGCTCGGTGTTGCTCTTCTTGTCGATGCAGCATGTGTCCATCCAAGCCCAGCGATACCCAGCATCACGAGCGACTTTGCAGAACGACTGCAGTTTTGCGATGCCGCCAACTCCCTTCAACTTGCGCATATTTTTACCCTGGATGTCGTGCAGCACCGCCTCCTTCTCTTCCCACCTGTGTGATAGCATGACGCAGCGGAAGTACATTGCTACCACTTCCTTGATGTGGTCCATTTCGAGGTCTGAATGCTTCGTCGCGAATGACAAAAGCTCCTTGTACTTTGCACTAGTTTTGAAGGCGTTTATTTGTGCCACTCGATCGCACAAAAGACCTGTGGAGGTATTGAGTAGACGTAGGGGGGCATATTCGAGTTCCATCCAAACGGCTCTTTGGATAACGTCTTCCGCTTCGGATAGACGCACATACTGCTGACGCAGGTCTGCAGAACGAGATAAGGATTTCGAGATTATGCAAGAGTGGTCCGTGGCTTACCTTGCATGTGCGCTTCTGGAGAATCGTCCAACTCAGACAACATGATTTTGAAGGCGATGGCCTCGTCGTAACGTTGCGCGCCACGCAGCGCCAAACGTGTCAACCGGTATCCCACATCAGATGAAGGATTGAGTTCGGTGACCTATGCATCGTCAAAGTCAACATGGGCTATGAAAACATAGATACTATTGCACCTTTTGTGCATCGAGAAGCGCATCCTCCCAAAGCTTTTTACCTAATTTGGCCATACTACGATTTGCAAAGACAGCATCAGATGGAGAAGTAATGTCAATCGCAGCCGAGTATAAGTCAATGGCACTGTCAAAATCGTTTACAGCGAGAGCAGTATCTCCGTTGGTAAAAAAGATGGCGCCGCATTCTTGCTTGAAAGCTGAGCGAAATGCGGGTGAGGATTTATAATCTCGATGACATCGCTGACGACTTGCCGTTGGACCATTCAATGCAACTGACTTTTGTTGTTTCATCGATGTTGTCCGTCATGTATTGGTATGATTTGACGGCATCTTGAGGTTTACCTGCCCGAAGGAGTGCATCACAACGTTTTTGGTTTGTAGTAATCCACAACGATTTGAGATCCCAGCCGAAGAACTGAACCAGGGATTCAGTTATGAAAAGGATTTTGGATGCGTATTCACTCACCACTACAAAGTCCTCATACATAGAATGAATGGGTGAACTCCATGAAAGAGCACCCAAGTTGAGAACGACGGTAAAATGGCCGGCGGCTTCTTCGTGACGTGCACTATCCAAGGCCTCAATTCCAAGTTGAACACGCAGATATGCCTAATGTGCGAGTTGCAAAGCTTAGTGTAGAATCTAGATGATGGCTGAGTGGGGATGATACCTACTTGCACTACACCACACGCGAGAGTATCGGCATTCGGACAACCAGCAGCGAGTTCTTTGAGGAGCATGTTTGCCTCGTCTTGTTTATCTGCATTGAAAAGAGCGATGGCCTAAAATACGCGATGAGGTGGAACGTATGTGAGACACATGTAACGTACTTTTATCAAGAGAAGGAAATGGAGGATTTGAGGATCTTGGTCCGTGTACATTGATGCAACATCAAACGCTGCCCTCCCATCCGGGACAAGGCCTTTTCCACAGAGGGCAATACCCTTGGAGATGTATCCCGTCAATGAGGGCCGAATGCTGATAGACTAAGTCACCGTCGGGTCAGCCTTTTGTAAGGGGGCCATGATCAGTGCGTATAACTCACTTTGATTGCATCCTGAAGGGCGCTGTCCCAGTTGTATTGTCGAGCCATCACGAATGAGCGATGAGCATAGGAAGTGTGGTTGTTCACATTGGTATTGATATCTTGCGTGAGCAAGCTTTCGGCAGTAGATAAGTCGCCATCTATACATGCATCGCGGGCTGTAGTGATGGCGAGAATCTGCATAGAGCATGCTCAAATTGTGGTAGATGAGTCGAGGACGGAAACATGCCTTTGGGTGAATACCCCGAGGTACTGCCCACTCCGAGATCATATTATCTTGACCTCCGCTGAGGATATGCTTGCCGTTCACGGAGAAAGTGACGCATAACGGCGTAGATGAGTGCTTGAAGGTAACAATAATTCGTTCATCTGAGAGCCCCCAGAGACAGACTTGGTTGTCATC